ATAACCAGGAAGTGTGTGGGATTGTCCGTTCTCCTCCCTCCCTGCCGTCCCTCCTCCCGCCGCTGCCGCCACGCTGTCTGAGCAGAGAGGCCGTGGGCAGCCGCTTCCCCGCGCAAACACTCGTCCTCTCCCTGCATTGGTCGGGGTGGGGGCAGAGTTGCCCCGTTCTCCGGACTGGCGGGCTTCGTGCGGCCCGGTGGTGCTGTACCCTGAGCCCGTTGTTCCTGTGCCCTTTAAATTCCCCTCTCGCAGGGGCTGGGATCTGTGGTGCCGAGGCGGGACAGGCTCGGGAGCTTCAGGGAGATTGCCTGGCCCACGTGTGCGGCCTGGGGGGGCAGTGCACGGGGGTGATAAAGGAAAGTCAATCTCCCCCTCCCCCACAAAACCCCATAGCGGAAGCGCCGAGCACCCTCAGGGGCCCGAGCGCGGGGGGAGTGAGAGCCCAGTTCACCAATCAACTGCCGGGGCCGTTCGGAATCAGAACGCTGAGGTATTTGGAGGCGGGGCTTGGCCCAGCCGGACCAATGCGAGCGGGGTAGGAGGGTGAGTGGCAGCTCCCCGTGGCGCTGACAATGCACGCATGGAATTGGAGGGAAGAGGATTGTAAACACGGAAGTGGGGGGTGGGGTAATGGGTGCCGCGGGTATGGGTATGGCTGAGTGATGGGGGGAGCGCGGTTGGGACAGGGCTTGCTCTGCTGTCTGGAAGCCGTCTCCCTTCCTGGCCGCGGGGGAAGTTCAGTGTCACCCCGGCCAGAAAAGCGGGCAATCTCCTCGTGGGGTGGGAGTGTTTTCTCCCTCGCTTGGAACTGTAGTGAGCGGGCCCAGCCCGGGTGCGGGTGCATGCACCCATGCTTCAGGCACTGGCTCTGCGGCGGGCAGCTTCGCTACTTCACCAGCGCGCGTGGGGCTCCTGCCTCAACACCCTCCCACCGCGGCCCGGAAGGAAGGTTGGACCTTCCCGCCATGCCCCTCAGCAGGGTATATGTGCGGTTGGGGCTACGGTGGTCTGCAGCAGATTGAACTTAATGGAAAATAAGTGTACAGAACACGTTTCTACAGGGACACTATCAGAGAATCCTGCAAACTGAAGTCTCTCTCTGTCATAGTCCAGTACAACTGAAATCTGTCTCCTTAACATCCCTGTGATTAAAATATCACTTGAGTGGTTTTGCCATCCCACCTGCAGTGATGGATTAAGGGGATCACATCCATTTCAACAAAGGATCTTATACAGTAAATCAGAATTCTCCTAGCATTACTGCCCTGCTGCCATTCCTATCCTACTTCCCACTTTTTATGGAGGATGGTGGTGGGTACTCCCTTGGATACAAATCTTGAGTCCAAGGGGGCCCCCTTCAGACCATTGAGAGGAATTCTTATGTAGCTCAACAATGATTCCTCCAGTCAACTAAAGCATATCCCATGGAAATTCCATTTGGTCATCACACACTGAAGCCACCATCCTGTATATTCAGTGTGGAGGTGGGGAGAATAGAGAAAAAAGTGGTTGGACCTGCATAGAGTGACAGGGGACCTGAGTGAAATTATTACTTTTTGTTTCCAAATAATTATAAATACAATAGTGTTATAATTTTTCAAAATAATGGGTTCTCAACCTGTGTGTATATGTATGTCACAAACAGGTGTCATAGGGTTGTGAGATTGCCCTTCCAATATTGTTAAATGAGCACGGGGTCCCAGGCAGATGGGTTGGAGAGCCTGGAAAGCAAGGGGAAGGCAGTGTCCTTGTATATAGAAAGAGCCCCAGAAGGGAAAAAAATTGAGAACCACTGTCCCAAGGAAATATCTTTACAACCAGCTGCAGGATGCTAATGTGCTTTTAATTAGAAGTCTATATAAAAATAAATTGTATTTGCATGTCCGTAGAGGTACAGTATTAACACTTCTCTTCTTCATTCCCATAACCACTCCTTATTTATAAAACTCTGATGTATAGACAGAATCTGCTGTTAGAGTATTGAGACTGGAGACCTCACACCTGTCTGGAATGCTGCTAAATGTAGACAAAGTCAGGCATAAATCCACATCATGTGTCCTGTTATTTTTTTATTAAACTGTAAATTGTACAAATTTTGACATAAAATTAAATCATTTTTACGGTGTTGCATGCCTTCTGGAACATATTTCATGAATGACAACAAAATTATACCACACAAAAACATTCTGGAAATGTATTTAGAAATATTTGAAAACAAAGATTAATCCATGTTCATTAGCATTTTAAGAACAAACTAAAGCTGGGATACAGTATAAACATTTTACTGCTGAGTTCATCGTTAGGGCTGTGATGTCAGGTATAGAATCATAGAAGTGTAGGGTTGGATAGGACCTCAAGAAGTCATCAAGTCCAGCTCCTTGCACTGTGGCTGGACCAAGTAAATCTAGACCATCACTTTTCAGGTGTTTGTCCAACCTGTTTTTCAAAACTTCCATCGATGGGGATTCCACAACCTCCCTTCGAAACTTATTCCAGAGTTTAACTGCCCTTGCAGTTACAAAGATTTTCCTAATAACTAACCTAAATTTCTGTTGCTGCAGATTAAGCCCATTGGTTTTTGTCCTATCTTCAGTGGACCTGGTGAACAATTGATCACAATTGTCTTTATAGTAGCCCTTAATGTATTTGAAGATAGTTCTCAGGTTCCCCCTCAGTCTTTTCTCAAGACTAAACATGCCCAGTTTTTTAACCTTTCCTCATAGGTCATTAACTTTTTATCATTTTTGTTGCTCTTCTCTGGACTCTCCAATTTGTATGCATTTTTGTACGTCAAAGTATGGCGCCTAGAATGAGATACAGTACTCCAGCTGAGGCCTCACCTATGCTGAGTAGAGCTGGACAGTTACCTCCTGTGTTTTACATATGATAGTCCTCTTAATACAGCCCAGAATATTAGCCTTTTTCGGAGCCACATCACATTCCTGACTCATACTCCGTTTGTGATCCACTATAAACCCCAGATCTTTTTCAGCAGTACTGCTGCGTGGCCAGTTATTCCCCATTTTGTAGTTGTGAATTTGATGTTTCCTTCCTCATTGAATTTCATCTTGTTGATTTCAGACCAGTTCTTCAAGTTGTCAAGGTTGTTTTGAATTCTAATCCTGTCCTGCAAAGTGCTTGCAACCTGTCCCAGTTTGGTGTCATCTAGGGTGACCAGACAGCAAGTGTGAAAAATCGGGATGGGGGTGGGGGGTAATAGGTGCCTATATAAGAAAAAGCTCCAAATATCGGGACTGTCCCTATAAAATCGGGACATCTGGTCACCCTAGTCATCTGAAAATTTTATACACATATTCTCCACTCCATCATCCAAGTCATTAATGAAAATATTGAATAGTACCTGGCCCAGGACTGACCCTTGTGGGACCCCACTAGATACGCCCTCCCAGTTTGACAGCAAACCCATTGATAGCTACTCTTTGAGTACGGTCTTTCAACAAGTTGTACATCCACCTTATAGTAATTTCATCTAGATCGCTTTTCCCTAGTTTGCTTATGAGAATGTCACATGGGACTGTCTCAAAAGCTTAACTAAAATCAAGACATATAACATCTACTGCTTCCCCCCATCCACTACTAGGCCATTAACAATGTCAGAGAAGGCAATTAGATTGGTTTGGCATGCTTCTCTCTTCATTGTCCTTCCTTTACAACTTAAGGATACAGTTCTGCTGCCCTTACTCATATGAGTAGTTACATTGAAGGTTTCA